ACTGACTGAGGGACTGACTGAGTCCCTCCCTCCCTCCCTCCTTCCCTCCCTCCCTCCTTGTTCCTTCCTTCCTGAGACAAGGGTCTCTGTATCTAGTTCTGGCTGTCTTGAAATTCACTTTCTAGATCAAGGTAGCCTCAAATCCACAGAGATCCAACTGCCTCTGCCTTCCAGTGTGATCAAAGACGTGTGCCACCATGCCAAATTGACTCTTATACCATATGCAAATTCACAGTGCTCACATGCAATGCTCACAGTGGGTTAAAGACAAATGCAACAGATAAAGCTATAAATCCACTAGACAAAACATAATGGAAAGTATTCATGGCCACAATCTGCACAGTGATTTCCTGGATCTCATTCTAAAGAGCATAGGAGCTGGGGCAAAGATCACAAGATCAAACAAGGCCATTGTGGACAGGTCTAGTGAGGCCCTGTCTCCAAAAACAGAAGAAAACAAACAAAAAATGAAGCATACAAACAAAAGAAAATATATGAATGGGATTATATTAGTCTAATAATCTTCTGCATAACCAAGGAGACAGCCAACAGAATTTAGAAAACCTAAGAAATGGGAGAATATATTTGCAAACCATATATCCAACCCAGTGCTAATACCAAAACATCTGAGGAAATCTGCACAGAATGGTGACTATCACCAGCAGCTAATCTATACTTAAATATTGCCGGGGATACAAGTTGAGGGTTTTTATTACAAAAGGTAATTTTGTGTGGAAATAGGTATATTATTTTATCACTTAACACACTATCTATCTATCTATCTATCTATCTATCTATCTATGTAAACATCACATTGTACTCCATGTATAATTTTCATTGATTAAAATCCTTCAAGGGACAGGAAAGAGAGGGCTTAGCAGTTAAGAGCACCTGTTCTAGCAGAGGACCCAGGTTTGATTCCCAGCCCTCATATGCGAGCTCACAACCATCTGTAACTCTAGTTACAGGGGATTGGATCCCCTCTTCCACAGGTACATATATTTCATGTACATATACATGTAGGCAAAACACTCAAACACATAAAGTAAATATATTTTATAAAAGATTAAAAAATCACAAAACCCCCAAATCATAAAAACATAAAATTGGAAACCACAATATATAAGCAAAATATGAGACAAAAAATATTTTCTCTGAATATGCCAAAAACAAATGGACTAGACATTGTAAATGCAATTCTTACCTCATAATTGTTCTTATTGTATAAGTTTTACTGTTAGAGTTTAAAAAAATATCGGTTTTATTTAGACAAAAAGGGGGAAATGTTGTGGAAAAATCTTTTGTACACTGTGAAGATGTGTTTTTGCCAAGGCACCTTCTGATTGGTTTAATGAAAGAGCTGAATGGCCAATAGCTAGGCAGAAAGAGGTTAGGTGGGACTTCCGGGGACAGAGAGGACTCTGGGAAGAAGAAAGGTGGAGTCGCCACCAGCATAGGCAGTATGGAGAGAAGAGGTAATGAGCCACACGGCAGAACATAGATTAAAATAAATGGGTTAACTTAAGTTATAAGAGCTAGTGGGACAAGCCTAAGCTAAGGCTAAGCTTTCAGAATTAATAATAAGTCTCTGTCATTAATTTGTGAGCTGGCAGCCCAAAGAAAAATCCAACTATATAGTTAGCAGTAGACTGACTTATATCTAATGTGTCTAGTGGAGCCAGTGGGGACAGATGGGGCTTCTTTGCGGCACTGCTTCAGGGATGCCCAAAGCATCAATGAGATGGCATTCCTGCCATCTCAGACTTCTTCTTTTTTTAAAGCTATCTTGTCTCTTTGTAACCCAGTTAAGCCTTGCAAGAGTGTTCAAATTCTAATAGGATTTCAGGAACACATCTTTCAAGAACATAATCTCTTGAAACCACAAAGGGATGGGAAATGGGTAAATTCTTATTAACTGAGGGAGAATAATCAACAGAATCAGGGGGAAAACTGGTGGCTAAATGGAAATAGGTGGGGTTTCTCCATTTAGAGGTCATACTTAGATGAGCTTTATTTAAATCAGGGCACATCCATATGTAGCTTACTAAACCAATGTTTTGTATATGCAATATAACTTAATGTGCTCACAACGATTGATGCTATTATTTAGAGACATCTAATAGCCTGCATAAAATCACAGAGGCTGAACTGGAGGTGTAGCTCTTTGGTATAGCGTTTTCCTAGCAGGTGCAATGCCTTGGGTTCAATCCCCAGGCTGTGAAAACAGAAAATTACAGAGGCAGTAAATGGTACAGCTAATTACAGTGGCAATAAGCAGTATAACCAGATTGTGAAGACAGTCCTAACTCCTTTATACAACATTGACTCCCAGTAACCTTTGTTTGCAGACAGCATAACATTTAATGATGTACCTTGGCAGTGTTGATAGCAGCCCCATAGCCTGATGAGAACCCACATCCAATCAGACAAACTCTCTCTAAGTTTGCCTCGTCATCGACTCTGGCAAGATTGGCCTCTGAAACTACAGTGTACTGAGAGAACGAACTGACTCCCATGAAATGGTAAATTGGTTTTCCTTTGCAGGTAAATCTACTTGTTCTGTCTTCCATGAGCTCTTGATCAATTGTGGGGCATTTAAAGTTCCTAGAAAAAGAAATGGACACAGTGAAGAAGAGATATTGAATATCATATGTTTGTCATGAATGCTTTGTGGAATCGAATGGAAAAGCTGGGAAAATAATTTGTTACTTTTCACATCCACACATAGTATTTTTGAGCAATTTTAGTGTTAATACCAACAAACTTTTATTGGGTTCTTTCTCTGTTAACTCATTTTTTTTTCCTGCCAGTAAATTGAAGCAAAACTAAAAATAGAATAGTACAATGACCCTCAATGTACTCCAATGACCTTCTGGCTTAATTAACTGCTAAGTCCTGTCCAGTCAAGTTTCACCCATCACCCTCCGAAGTACACACTTGTTCTCCGGCATCACATTGTCTCATCTGTTTTGAGATATTCATATTTCTAAAGGATTCTGTTAAGTTGGCACATTGCATTTTACTAAGACGTCTTTTAAATTTATAACTCCCATATTGTAATTTCCTTGTGGAAAACTAGAGTTGTTGGTCCCATAGAGTTTCCCTCCTTATCAGTGTTGCTGGTCATTCTACTGAAAGCTGGTTTAACATGTCTCTCTGTGTCAGCATTGCCTCTTAATTAGAAGTTTTTATTGAAATGTCTGATTCAGATTTCATGGTTTTTTTTTTTGGGGGGGTACTTCAAAGGTAAAGCTGGTTTAACATGTCTCTCTGTGTCAGCATTGCCTCTTAATTAGAAGATTTTATTGAAATGTCTGATTCAGATTTCATGTTTTTTTGTGGGGGGGTACTTCAAAGGTGGTGTGATACACCTAGAGGGGTCATTGCATCTTATTATTTCTCTTTTTATAATATTAGAATCCATGGCCATTGTCTAAATCCATAATTTCATTAACAGTTAGCAAAAAAGTATAGTTTTAATTCAACCTTGCAAACTGACAGTATCTTCTTGTAGATAGAGGAACAGAGGCATGGATATGAGTAATAGGGTTTTAACTTACCTTTTAAAACTATTTGCTTATTATGTGTGTCTATGTGTGTGAGTGTATATGTGCCACATGTGTGTAGGTGGCACAGAGGCCAGGAGAGGGCATTGGATCTCCTGGAACTGGAGTTATAGGTGGTTAATGAGCCACTATGTAGATGCTGGTAACTGAACTCAAGTCCTGTGCAATACTAGTGACTACTTTTAACAGCTGAGCCATTCTCTAGCCCAAGTTTTAATTTCCTAAATAACAAGCTTCAATCAGCATTCAGGACAAATACATCAGTTTGAGATGACTAAGAGTCACAACTGTTGAGCTACAGTGTCTGTGAAAAACCTGGGTTCAGTACTGAAGCTGTATAGCCCTGGAATAAATTAATGCACCTCTATGAATTCATTCTCACTCCCCTAGAAGTAGATACAATTTTAACTTGGAATTTATCATTCCAGTGATGTGTTTATACTTTTGTTATATACACATGTAACCATAAATTCTGGTACTGTCTTTCTGTGACACACATATAGGATGTCCTTTAGCATCTTGCTAACGTGTGTAAAATTAGGTTAGTATGTATATTTTAAGTCTAGCTATTTTCATTATATAGTTGTTCATTGTGTTACTATGTAGCAGTGGATAAACCTGTTATTCTTACTCTTTTATTGAGCGGCGCCCCTATGGTTTCTTATTGTTCTTCTAAGCCACATGACTTACAAGACTACTTATACTCTTATTAACAGTGATGGGGCTTACCGGAGTTTCCCACAGAGGTTTGTAAGAGGACTCAGACAGAACTTGCACTTTTTACACTGAGGTGCAAAGAATGGAATTACTTTGTCACCTAGAAAGAAAGGCCATGTGTTAGATGGTACCTAAGATGTAGTTACAGTTTCTGAAGTGTGGCTAGGATGTGAACTGTCGGTAGAGAACTTGCCTGTTTATGCAAGGTCTCAGACTTGATTCCCAGCCCTAAAAAAACTTTCTCTCAGATAAATCAGTAGAAAACACCATTTTTGTAGTATACATTTTATATTCAACTGAAATATAGTACTTTAGAAGAGTACAAGACCGTGGGTTCTTTCACACACTGCACTTTTGTCTTTCTTAGTCTGCTTGTCAGCCACGTGACAGCCTGCACTGGTATTAAGAGGTGCAGGGTTGTGGCTGGGAATATGCTCACCGAAGTCTCTGTGTATGACTGTTGCTTACTGCCTTCCCAAACACTTGTATGGAATAGAAAGTCCCTGTGCCCTGTGGGACAGAGGAGGTGTGCCATGTAGGCGAGAGGTAGAGCATAGACTTTGTATTACTGCCCACGTTGTACCATTCTGTTCAGTTTTTTTTTTCAAGACAGGGTTTCTCTGTGTAGCTTTGGAGCCTATCCTGGCACTCGCTCTGGAGATCAGGCTGGCCCT